AGCTGATGCTGCTATGTACATAATGGAGCTTAGTATTTTCCCCAAGATCTCCCCAGGATAAATCTTCATATGCTGCACTACCATACAAAACAGAGAAATGAGGGAAAGTGAGACAAATACACCCAAGTTAACAGGACTGCTTAGGATAGGCTCCTAAAATGAAGTTCAAATCAGCAGCTTGCCTGAGGTAGAGTCAGAAATAACATCTAGATCAGTGTTCTTATTACCAGGGCATTTTGGGGCCTTTTTCATTCTCTGTTCCATCAGATGTTTCTCTCTTTTTTTTTTTTCCATCATCTTTTTATCCCAGGTCAAGAAAGCTTTCCTACTGAAAACTGGAAGCATAGTCCCATTATTAGTTTTGACTAGGACAAGAAAATCCCTACCAGCTCCCCATACTAAACAGTTTACTTATTTTTCCTAATAACGCAGCCTGTGTTGTGTCTGACTTAAAATGCCCATTTCCAAAAACTCTTACTCTTTATTTTGTCCTTGGTATCAGATGTACTTAGTAACAACAGTGACTCAGTTGTAGTTTTGTATGGAGGCTTCCTTTGCCTGGGTGAGAATGGAGCAAGCACGCTGCCAGTCCCTTTCTATTTATTTGTGTATCATAAACAGGATGCAAGAGCTGGTGCACACGGCAGCAACCGTAGCATCACCATCAGATATTCCTAAAAATGGAAGAATTTCTCCTGGAGAATCTCTGGCCATTTTAAGGTTAATCTCTGTTGTGGTAAAGAGGTAAGCTCCGTATCTTTCAAAGGTGATTCTGTTACTCACTATAGGAGATGTGAAAAATTTTCAATCCAATGTTTACTTTGGTGATCAGAAAATCAGATAATGTGAAAATAAAGTACCATCTTCAGTTAAGGATTCACGCTGATATTTGCCTGGATATTGTGGTTGTAGAGAATCTGATTGTGTATATCCAACTGCTTAGTGCTGTTTCTGGCTTGTCTAAAACACATTTCCTTTCCTTGTCACAACTCCCAGGTGCTACTACTGAGCAAATAGTAACATCATTGCCAGAAGTATTTGAAAAGAACAAAAAAATAAAGATTTGGACAATCCGTGTGCTGTTGCCATTGATGGAGACACAAATGTGAGTAGGGTTAGGGCTGAGGTTGTAACAAGGTTAGAAGAAAAGTGCCCAGGAATTCTCTCCTGTCACATTTCACACTGAATTGCCCCTGGTTTTCAGCAGATGCTACGGCCAATGCACTGTGCTCCACTAAACATGGGGAATCATTTAGCTACATTTACAAGCTACACTGAAAATTCACTCCAGAATTACTGTACATGAAAGGTTACATGGAACAGGGTAAGATACTGCATCACGCAGGCACTAGGTGCTATATTTATATGGGCAACATAAAAAGCAAGGAACAAAAGCAGGAGTGAACAGGGCCTGGCTGCTTACAAGTGAGGGTGATGTTGCTGTCCTTATCCAAGAGTATAATGGAACTCATCTGAAGCCACTGGAGACCGTAGCTATCAGGTGAGAATACTCGCAGCATGGTAAAGCTCACTGGTCAGACAAACATGCTCTCTAGAACATTGCTTTTTTTTTTTTTAATCTCCTGCATGGCCCTGTACAAGCAAAAGGCTTGAAGATAATCACAGGATGGACTGGTAGGTTATTGTCCCTACTCCTTATCTGCACCTGTGCCTGGTCCCTCCTATGTACTCGGGAGCGTGTAACCACCTTGAGCACCCAACAGAGCAGCATGCAAGCATTTACATGATCAAAGGCAAAATGCGCTTAAGACAGACTTTGGAAATCCAGCACAATTTGGCAAACTTCAAAGATAGTTGCCTTTCAAACGGGCTGTGGAGGAGGCCTTGGTAAATTTGAATGGTATGATTAGCATACCGGCTGTTTTTAAAACTGCTCAAGAAGAAGCTGTGTTAAAACCCATTTCCGCAAGACACACGCATTTTCTCTTGGACAGGCTCCACTAGCTCTGTTTCTTAAATCAATTTTTCTGGCACAGATTTCTTCTTGGAAGAATGTACGACACCAGCTCAGTTTCCTAACCAAAACTTGACAGAATGTGTGCAGCACAGCATAACGACATCTCTACTTTGTGGCTTCCTAAAAGTTACAGCACAAAAACCTAGGAAGTGAAATTTGACTATTCCAGGTCACATCTGTTGAAAGGGGAGGGAAACAACAGAAGATGCCAGGGTAGTCTGCCCGGCACAATGTTCAAACACTGGTGAGGGCCACTGATAAAAGGCTTGCCAAAACAGGAGTTGCCAAGGTCTTAGAGGAGTTTCAGGGATGTGTTCAAGTCTTACTAGATTTAAAGGATGATCCTTGGCAAACTCCCCCTGATGCTTCTCAGCATTTCTAGAGCCAACAGTTGTTCCATCTGCTGCTGAGGCCGACTTTGAAGAATCCTTGCAAAGAGCAGCACACTAACTTTAATGCTATACAAGAGGAGAAAAAAACCACAGCTTTTCAGAAGTGACCTAGATGTTTGCCAGTAGCTTGACACTCTCAGGTAAGGCTGTCTCCTTGTCTCCAAACACTTGAGCATATTACCAGAGCTGCGCCAGTGTAAACTGGGCTGAAAACAGAGATTCAGCAAACAGCGTCTACTGAAAGCTTGTCTAAGGCATTAACTGTTCATCTGTGGAGGTCTGACATACAGTGACAGTGAGAAAGACCACTACAAACTCACTTCAAGAACCAAGTTGCTGCTGGGCATTAAAAAAAAGTAGGAAAAAATGGCTGCAAAACTCAGATACTCCCTGACAACAGCTAAAAACATTTTAAAAAACCCCCATCAAACACAATAAACTTTTGGAGCTGTTAAACACAAACAAGCTTTGAAAAAGCAAAGGAAGGTCCACACAGACACAAATGAAGGTGTTCAGTTCCAACACATAAGCTTCAGTTTCTGCCACTGTGACAGATTTGCCAGTGTGTTCTCTGAGCCGGGGCACTGCACTATTGTATAAGCTTTATTCTAATTACTGTAGGCTCTATAAAGGTTTCTTTATCATTTAGTATTATAAATAATTGTGCTTCCAGGCTGGAGTTCAAAGCTCAGCCTAGCATTCGCACAACACCACAGGCAGGTCAGGTGACCTTTCTCCAATTCTCCTCTCTCTGGTGCGGAGGACAGACAAAGTGATATGTCTGTCATACGCCATTACCATTAGAACAGAATCTTGTTCTTTTATTACAACTGAACTCCGCCGGATTTCTCAGC